CTTACCAGCAATTACTGCTCTGAGGGGAAGGTTTTAGCTCAGGCTAGTCAAAGTCCACACCTAAATCGAATTGAGACGCAGTGGTATTCTCTTTAAAATGACGGTCATGCTTCAAAACTCTTGTGTGGCTTAATTTAAACAATCCTGTGATTGAAAAACGAGTCAAATGCCTCCACAGTGAAATAAAGTAACAATTGTTGCCAGTTACCTCCGATGCTTGTTGGCAGTGATGGCATAACTCTTTCATTGGGTCAACATGCAGACAGCTTCTCAGCTCAGACTGGTTTGCATGTCTCTTTCCCCCTTAATGAATTGAAAGAATCATTTGAAAACAGTTTTTTTTTATATTGATCAAATAATATTTTTCTATTACACCTGAAACACGAGCAACAGATAACCAAACATTTTGAATGCAACCTCAACTAGATAAAACCTGAAATAAGGCAAAAAAAATAAATCAAAACTTTGACAGAAGACTTGGACATTAAACTTGTAGAACCGTTTTAATTTAATGTTTTCAAGGCTGCATAATGACACATTTGATCTACCTGTTGTATTGTAGTAAAGTCTTTGCACAGCGAATGCGATGCAGATCACATAAAAAGACATGAATAAAACCTTTGGAGAACAATGGAAAACGTGGAATGGAAACAATAGTTCATGAATGGACAATAAAAGCGATTATAAAATGAGAGGACGCCCACTCGGCTCCCTTACCTAACCCTTTCTATTTCACTTTGAGTGTTCTGCACCACATTTTTTTTGTAATTTCCTCTCATCCTCTTGCTGCCAACCACGTTTTCTTGTTTTCCCTCATCGCTATCACACCATCGACTCCATTGTTGCTGGCTGATGCTCTCGATGGCAGCGAGATTTTCTCTTTCTAACCTCTTGTTTTTGAGTCTTTCATCTAAATCCGCCACCTGACATCTTCCCCCCACCATCAAAACTCCTTCTCACCGATTCCTCTTAGTGAAGGCGACAGGCTGCTTTTCATCTTTTGCACTTGTTGTCCCCGACACTTGTTGACTTCCATTTGAAAGGTCTCCTTAGGGAAATGTCACTGTTTCAGTAAGTGCCTTTCCATTACGCAGAAAACGCAGCAGAAATTGGGTGAGATCAAGCCTTTTAAGGAGGCGGGAGTAAATCTGCATGAAGGCATTCGCAGACGTGGGATTCACTGCAATTACTTAATCTAGCTGGCAAAATACAGCGAAACAGTCGAATAATGTTCCACTGGAAAATAAAGCAGAGTCACAGAGTTAATCATACAGATTTGCTTGCTTTTATGATTTAACATTGGACTTATTTATGCATACAATTACTGTAATGCATAACTGCAAATCTATTTTTTATATTTGGTTGCTAGAGAAGCTAGAGCACATAAATAAACTTTGCCAAGAGATTTAAGATGGAATTTGAAAATGACATTCAGCATATAGAGCCACATTTAAGATTGATGATCAAGGTTCGATGTTTCCAACATTTTGATATTTGAAGCATATTACCCAGGATAATAAATTCAACTTCTAAAATCTCTGATTACCCAATGAGAAAAGATGTACAAAAATAACATGACAGCGCTTGTATTACAGTCATTATGGTAAAACTTTTAAAAATGAACTAAGCTATATTTTTTAAATATTCCAGCCACAATTAAATGGTCTTGGTTTTCTTTTTTTTTCTTGTTCTATCAAGTCTTGCATTGATAGACTTACTCTTTATAGATTATGGTTCATTTGAAAGCTTGTTTGCCACAAACAGAAAAAAAAATATATGAACAGATATTCCAGTCCTGGCCAGTTATGTTGATCTCAAACCAGTTTTCCTACAGCCATTGTTTTTCAGAGTTTATGCTCACTGTGAAATTTTCTCTTCTGCATCTCGATATATCATACAACCTGCACAATATACCAGAGCAGTCTGACAACATACCAGTCAATATACCAGCATTTTTACTGTTGGAGCTGAACGGAAAGGACAGTAAACAACTATTTTGGTAATCTTCACCTGCACACAACTAAGAATGTTGTGTGCAGTTATGAGTTGTTAAGAATAAGAATTAAACAGATATCTTGTAAGTTTTCAGTGTTCAAATATTACGCCATCTGCTGGTTACTGATTTGCAAAAAGAAACCGTAGAAGGCAGGCTGACGTGACAGACTTTTTGGCCCAGTATTTATTTAATTAGATTTTTTTCAGTAATGTCTGATATATTTGCTGGCTCTGGTGTCTCATCTCTGAACTCCACAGCCTCTCAACTTTATATTTGCGAGTGCTATTTGTAACTTCACTTATACCTGAAGCATCCTCTGAAGAAATTCTCAAAATGAGCCATTTTGTAAACACAACACTTAATTCTCCAGAGATTAAGCAGAGGGCTGTTTTCAGCTGACAGTCAATAATCCACCTTCGGGTCCATCCTCATTTGTTCTTCAATAATTCAGATGTGTACACCGGGTAAACAACACAGGACTTCATCATTAGGTAGCTGCAAAACATTGACTTTTAGCTAATGTCATTTTATCTAACGCCATTCTTCCTGTGCAGCTTTGCTAAAGTGCAAATCTTGTTTTTCCTTATTGTTAGTCAGACGTGTTCTTGAAGTCTCGGTGGGGTTTAGTTGTCAAGTACTCAACATGCACTTAAATTGCTTCCTGTTCCAGTGCCAGAAAATCTTTGCTTGCAATCAGGAGCTTGCAGCTGCCTCCTACAAACACACACACACACACACACACACACACCTACACACACATGCTGTCAGACTCTTAAAAAACAAGCCACAGGATTGGTCAAATATCTAACTGCACTTATGTGGATAAAATGGCTTCACCTGCTGTTGAACCACGTTGACATGCCCCTTTATCTAACAGCTTTCCTCACAATTCCATCAATACCCGGGGTCACTGTGGCCTCACACCTACACAAACGCAGTTTGGCAGCAGACTACAATGTCTGAATGTGGACTGAAGCATTTCTTAAACATAATGCACACTTGAAGAGAACAGGAAATCACACACAACAACAACAATCTGCTGTGGCCACATACAAATTCAATTACTTGAATATAATTTTGAGCTATAGTGCCTTACAGGAATAATGCTGAAATGCTTTCATGCTCTATCATTACCTATAATCAGGTGTCTGCCCTGGATGGAAAATCATCCTTGTAAGCACCTTTTTTATGTCAGTGTGAAACTGCATGGGAGTCAAATTCAGCCCATGAAAAACTGTGGAACTGAAATGTCTGCCAAAGACTGCAAAGTGCTGAGTCGCTGCAACTCAACTTTTAACTTTTTTTGGTATAGTTTTGTTATTAGTTCAGAAAACCTCATCCTTTCTGAAATGATCACGACTGCACCCTAAGGCACGTAACACAAATCAAGTCAGACAAGTTGTTCAATGTGCGGCGTTTTGTTATCTGCCCCACAACTTCAAATTGAAATCTTCCTAAGTATCACACTGCCTATTAGTTATCAACTTCTCACTAAGGCATTGCAGTCCCTGTGTAGCTAAATTAAAGCAGCAGCAGGAACAATTGTTGCACTTTTTTCAAGTGCAACAAAAGAAAAAGTGTTGAGTGCACAGAAATTTGGAGAGATTTTATTTGATTCTGGTTTTATTTATGTTTTCTGTTCTTTGAGTAACATCGCATTAAAGCTAAATAGAAATATTTTCCTTGTAGATAGGAACAATATTTCACCGTAACAATAAAGAGCTTCCTTGTTACAGTAGTTTTGCATGTTTCATAGTGTATAGCAGGGGCCTTCAAAGCTGGGGTTCTAGGAAAGAATCATATACAATCCCATTCCACGGCTCCAAAGCATACTTCTGCTTTTTTGTGTCTTGTGTTGAACAGAGGAGCCTTTTATAAAGAGGAACCTCAAGCCAGCTATAAAATGTTGAATGTCAGAGGGATTTGCATTGACAAAGATCTGATTTGAAATTCAAAATTGATGATGCATGTAGGTGGCTAGCAACATCAAACACCTGACTTACATGCAAAACTTTACATTTTATTTTATTTTAAAACAGCAAAATGTTTTCTTTAAGCCAGATAATGTTTTGGAGAATCCAAAATAGTCAATCATATTAGGAAAATGGTTGAGTATTCTGACTTTAAAATTCTTCAGTGAGAGTCATTTCTTTACCAAAACAAAAGTTTAGATCATTTTGCATTTAATCTTCTCATGAACAGGACTATTCATCCATAGCTGGAATATGACCCTGATGGTACCAATTCAGGGCCTGAAGTTCAGCTTTCACTACATCCTGGCTCTGGACAAACATTACCCACATAATTGCAGCAGAGTGATACATTGAATATCGGTTTTCTATGTCTAATACAAAAACAAAACAGGTGTTTAAAATGTTGTTAAAAGCCAAAATCAACGTGTTAAAACTGACAGTCGGTTTGTGTTTCCGCCTAAAATTCGTGTTTCTATTACGGTTTCCTATTATATGTATTTAACTTGCAAGTTAATTTATTTATGATGACTCCTGACAAAGCCAATTTCAGTTTTTAATACCTTTTATGAGTTCTGATCCAGTATTTGTTTATGACATAAAAGCGAATGCATGTTCCAGGAAATGCAGTCACAGTTGGCAAAAAAAATAAAAAATCTCTTTTGCTAAAATTGAACACAGTTAAAGTGGGAAAGCTAAGAGCAACCTGTTAGTTTACAATCAATTCTCTAAAAACTGTAATGCCTTCATCTTCCAAAACAAACCAGTTTTTGACTAAAACCTGCTTTACAGATTTAATCATGTTTTAATAAATTGTTGAAATACTTTAATTGGTTCATAAACTGAAGAGAGAGAATAAAAAAAACGTCAGGAGTGAGTAATTTCCTCAGGACGATACGGCCTCCATTTTGTCTGATTTGACTATGACTTGGCTACACTTTACCATCGTGTTATTCATTAATTTCATGACATCTTTGTTTTGAATGTGCAAACTTTGTTTCGAGCTCAACGACTATTAAACCAATCCACACGAAATGGAAAGCGCATTCTCCACAGGATACAACAGCAAGTAAGACCTGAACTTATTCTTACTGACTGTTAAATAATTTATATCAGACATACTAGACTGTTACACCGTCTTATATACAGCATGTAGATGATATTTTAAAAAAGTTTTTCTTTTAATCTTTTTCTCTATTTTTCTTTTTTTCAGAATAATAATCAAGCTGCAGACAATGATGAAAGTTTTGTTCCTCGTGTGTTCAGGTAAGCATTGTTTTATTTGTCTTACTTGAAAAGAGATTATCTGTAGTTGTTTCAGCACAAACATTGTATCTCACAGGACAAGGGAATTTAAAATGCTTGCATTTTTTTTTTTTTTTTTTTTTTTTGTTGCTGGAGTAATTATACATTTTAATGCTTTCTCTTTAAGAACCTACTAACAGTGTACAAATCAATAAGTCGCCGAGTTTTCAACTTCGTAATCTACTATAGCACAAGAAACTTAGAATATGCATTATATTTCATCTTATAGAAGCGAAGGTCCTGTAAACAAACTTAAACTATGTTATTGTCTTTTTGCAGGAATTTTGCAGTTTTCATTAGCTGCAAACCGTCTGCGATACTTTAATTATACAGAAGGGGAAGTTAACTGGAATGCTGCAAAACAATACTGTGCTGACCAGGGGGGGTATTTGCTGAGTCTTTATGATAAAGAGGATGAGATGATGATATATAATTTCACCAACCCAATAAAAAAAGGTTTTTGGTCTGGCCTGAAGAAGAAGGATAATGATACTCTCTTTTGGTCAAATGGAGAAGCCGTCAAGTTTAACAAGTCAACAGTAACCATTACAGATGTAAATCAACTCTGTGAAGCTTTTGAAAATGGTTCATGGATAGGTAGTAATTGTTCAGAAGAAAAGGCTTTTATGTGTGAAAATGGTAAGTGTGAGCCTGCATTTTCCTTTTTTTTCTGAAAAAAATAAATAAATCGATAATATTAAAGTTAAAGGGAGATAACTTTATCCCTCAACACTTTAAGTGGTTTAAGTGGGAAAAAAAATACAGGTAACATAATAAAATGATATTAGAGAAACAGGAGTCATATTTTTATCATCAGTAGCTTTAATAAAAATGGATAAAAAACTAAAAAGGTGATTCTAAGTCAGATCCGCTTGAGTCACGTAAGTCATCATGATGTTAACATGGACATGAAAAGTAACACAAAAAAAAACTCCTTAAAACCAAAAAAGTGATTCGTTCATTTTACTCTTATGATTTCAATAAACCTATTATGTTTATTTTCTGTTATAAAACATATTTATCAGTATTAATGCTATCATTTAACAAGCCAATGTCATTTAATCAATATTATATAAAAAAATACAAATATTTGTAATAGGGAGGATGGATAAGCAGAGTTGCTTCTTTCAGGGAAAAAAACTTGTCCTCTTCAGAGTTAACCTGCTTTCTGTTGCATATAATACACACTGAAAGCTGGAAAAAAGTGTAAATGTAATTTACCAATGTTGCACTTAAAAGCACGAGTCATATATTAACCCAAAGCAGATTTGAAACACAATAACTCTAAGTCAATATTTATTCTCTTATAGATTGCAGAGTTCAGTTTTATTCAATCAAATTTATTATCATTTTGAATCTGATTTCTCCCTATTTTTCTTTTTTTTTTCTTTTCCAGATGGAAACTTTATCCTTGTGGACGATGTTGAGAAAAACTGGTGCCAGGCAATGCAGCACTGCAGAACACATTTCGCCAATTTAGCGAGTATCATGAATGAACAGCAAAACGAAGACCTGCAAGACAAAAGTCAAGAAAAAAATGTTTGGATTGGGCTTCAGCATGATAACTTTGAATGGGCAGACAAAAGTTGTTCAACATATAAAAATTTACATAGAGAGAGCAAAGGAGAATGTATCTCTTTCGATAGCAATGAAGAGGAACTTACTTGGAATCAACTAACGTGTAATAGTGTAAAACACATCATTTGTTACAAAGGTTAGCTGTAAATTTAATACATTTACTGTCAAATATTGTTAGGCTTTATTAAGAAAATGTAGAAATGTTGTCATTCATAACTAGAAAAAAATTGCACCTTTTGCTGAGACATTAATAAGTTAAGCAGTAAAGTTTCAAAGGATGTCGGTGGTATGTTATTGAGAAATAGTGTGACATAAATTTCCCTTCTAGGCTCAATAAATGGAAGTTTAACATGTCATGATCAAATATACACATAATCAATCCCAAATGTTGACATTGTATCATCCTATTTTCAGACACTGTCGGCACAATTTATGGGCAAGCTAAAGATTAGCATGCAAAGGGTTAAAAGACTTTCTGTAAGTCTTATTTGTCATTTTTCTCTTAATTTTCAGGCCATGTGAGAATCAGAGTAATCAATGAGCCCAAAACCTGGGAGGGCGCCCTGAATTACTGTAAAGCCAGACATTCACGCCTTCTATGGATTGAGGATGAGGAGGACCAGAGAGCCGTCGAACAGTGGCTAAATGTCACTTCCACTGGTTCTTTGACGCGCTTGTGGATCGGTTTGAGGCAGAGTTCTGTCTTTGGGTTCTGGATTTGGAGTGACCGAATTGTGGACTATAAGAACTGGGAGAATGGACAACAGCCTCAGATGCCTTTCTCCAATCATTGTGGTGTGATTGATGCTGAAACCTACAAATGGAGAGATGAAAACTGTAAGCTTAAGATACCTTTCCTTTGTGAGGAGGATATAACATTTATGAAGACTTAAAATTACAGCTTCATTCAATCAGCAGCAGAAAGCCTAATGATGTCATTTTAACACATCTTACATGATGTGTTAACATGTCTATTTCTCTCTCTCTCTCTTTGTTATTGGTGGGTTTGGTTCTACGCTTAGTTTTTTTTAATTTCATGTAATAAGTGTCAAATTTTGATCTATAAATCCATATATTTAGGTCTCAAATATATTTCCAAAAGCAATATTTAACCCGAATCAGCTCAGTATGTGAAAAGTTTTGCCATTGTCTGCTAGTATTTGAGCAAGAGATTTTGTGTTGCTTTTTTGCTTGTTTTCCCAATCAAATATTTCAAGAGATTAAAATTTTGATATATATATATTTTTAAATCTTGACAATCAGTGTGCAGATTTTTTTAAACTTATGCACGATATGTTTTATTGTTGGACACAATAATACACTTTGCACATGCTCACAAAAGTTGTATTTGCTTAATAAACACAAGAATGCTTCCAGTTTTTACACTGTCTTCACTCAGTTTTCACATTTTCAAATTCTTGTGAATTTGCCTGAATGCACTGGAAACTTATGTTTCTCACTAACAATTGCTGATGCTTTTTCCACACCAAGAATATTTAATTCATTTAATTATCCTGTCAATAATTAGTCATCTTTATATTGAGTAATTTTATGTTGAATGGCACAAATTAACTTCATAAAAATATCTCCGGTATAAACCTAATCAAATTGTATAGAATACAATTAACTTCCTTTCTATCAAATCCAACTATTTATCTATATTTCATACAGTATCAATTGGTTATCAGCATTTAGTCATTGACTTTTTACATTTTGTTTTATGGCATTTGAGCTTTACATGCATTTCAGTTAGGAAACAAAGTTATGAGGAAATATTACAAAAGCATGAGAAAGTGCTTTACTTCTTTGACTTTTATGTGTTGTCAGTCACCCGTTAGTGACGTCTGCTTTCTGAGAATACAGAACGCGTGCAGAATCTTCCAGATCAGCAGTGTCGCCATTTACTTCTTATTAAAGTGTGTTTTCAAGCATGGAGAAAAATTATGAGGCTGAAATTTAATCAAGTGGCTTGAGATTTCTCAGTTGATTTAAGTTACTGTAAAATAGAGGAAGATGTTTTTGTTTTTTTTTGGTATTTTGACCAACATAAAATTTGTTTAGTTAGATTTGAAGTTGGATCCTGTCTATAAACCATGTGAGACATGAGGCTTTTGAATCCCTTTTTGCAATATAGAAGCAGGTTTTTACATGAAATATTTTTATGTTCATTAGTTTTTAGAAATCTTCTCACTCTGGCATTACTTTTATTTTTGTCACTGTCAAATAAAAATAATTTCTAAAAGCAACAAAAAGGGTAATGCTCTGTCTGCAACATGGAGACAGACTCGGCTGTTATTTCTAATCTCCTACAAAATTTAAATAGGAAAAAACAGACATAGACTTCCCAAAAGCTTAGTTGCTGTGAAGTTTATTCATGACAAATTCTTGAACACATTTGTGCCGATCGGGGACGAATCGGAGCATACAACCAAGAAATACATCCGACTAGGAGACCCACAGAAAGGGAGCATAAGAGCAGCAGATGGAGGGCGGGGGGGAAGTGAGAAGAGCAGCAAAGCCTGTCAAACTATTAATGTCATGTTGTGAGCCCGAGGCTCCCGGTGACACCGGAGATGAGTGGACGTGTTTAGCATAGCGCGTCGCATGCGTGCACGGCCATAAACCCCGGCCAGAGAACTCTGCAGCTACTCGCCATTCTGTGGTATTCTCTAATCACCGGCCTGAACTCTCCCTATTAAATACTCACAGATTCAGTGAAGCCTTTATTATCTGCAGTGGCTCACAGAGATATTGTTCTGGAGTGTCAAAGGTGGCGGTCAGTTTGACTTTTGACATTGTTGCCAATGTACATTAATAGCTTTCATGTGTTCAAGACCCACTTGCACTGATAAATCACGGCTATTAATGAAACATATTTTGCCGTTAGAACTGAAGTGAAGCATTTTACTCAGAAAACCAACTTGTCTACAGGTGTGCTGCGCCCATATTTGGCTTCCCATTGATGCTGCATTAAACCGATGAAGGGTTGCTGGAATATTGCCAAAGTATGGTTCAGAAAAAAAATTAAGTTTGATGGTCATCTGTGTGATTTTTAGCGTCATATCTTGACTTCTATGTGCCAATAAAAATCCTAAAACACCTCTTGAGAATAAATAATAAAACACATAGCGACGTATTCACTGCATTTAGTTTATTCTAAAAGTTTATTAGTTTTTAGTAACTCCTCTGTTCTGGCCACTTGCCTGGGTGGTGCACTCTTGTGTAATTAGTATTCCAGTCTGAAACCTAACAACCTTTCATAAGGTTCCTGTTGCTAATGGCTGATTTCACTATTTCTGCAACAGTAATGGCATTTTAGACACGTCCAGTGCAAAGATCGCTAATTTAGAGTGGAAATGGCCCATCAGACCCACCTAAGGGTCATGTAAGTTGAGTTGGTGCAGAGATATACTTGTGGTTCTTTCTCTGTTGATATGCATGTGTGTTTATGCGTGTGTGTGTGTGTGTGTGTGTAGATCTTAAAAAATTTCTGCCTCCTGCACAATCCTTTGGCCCAGTTGTTATTCCTCATTTCCCGTCTTCATTTTTGTTTTTTTGTCGAGTACCGTTATTCAATTTAGGAAATAGTTGTTTTTCTTCCCTGCACCACTTTATCTTACACGAACGTTTATATATCCAAAGTTATCGGACAAATCTATGTACATTAACACAAATCACCTGAAGGGAATGTTTTATAAGCAACAAATGTGTGTTTATCAGATCCCAGATGTATCGATTTTCGACTTTGCTGAAACCTTTTCAACACACTCTTGAGGAACCACAACAAAGATGCAGAAATATGAAATGAAACAGATATAATATCAGCAGAGTTTTAGCAACAAAAGCGATACCTTAACATCTCTTCAGTGTAGTAAGCTTTAGAAGCATTTATTGAGGCAACAATCTATGACACTTGACCTTACATTTGACTCTTCAATGCATTAAAAAGTCTACAGTCAATTCATGCCATTGCCAAAAAAAGCCCACATCATTCCTTTATACCACTGCTCTTTAGTTGTTATGATCTGGCAATTGCTTCTTTTGTACATTTTAAAAAAAATTTTTTCAAGAACACTTTGAAAGAAAGTAGGATGAACTGCAAAGGGAACAATAAGTTAAAGCACATATCAAGTTATCATTTCAAACATGCCACACAGGAACTACAAACTTTAAACTCCCCAAATTGTTTAAAAACCCAAATAAATATTCATATTATTACATGCTTAATTATAGAATATTTTGAGAAAACTCGTTGAAGTGATCTCAAAAACTGGAAAACTCTCTCTTTTTTTTGTGGTTGTTAAAGATGAAATGAATGCATGCGTTTGAGAATTTTGTTTAAAACCTCTGGACATGGTTTTTGAAGTAACAATCTGTTGGTAAAATGTCGTTTATCTGAGGGCCAACATTTACTAACACACAATTTGAAAGCAAGACAGCAACTCAAACTGAGCAACAAGAGGCTCAGTTTGTCAGAGGAAATTATGTATATAAAGACAATCAGGCAGAAATCTACCCCCTGCAATGTTCCTGCAATGTTCCTGGTTGCTGATCCTATACAGAGCAAACTGCAAGTTTTTTATATGCCTCATATTTTGCTTCCCAATCTTTACTCTTCAAGTAGTTCACCATATTGTTCCCTCTATCTATCATTGGCTTCCTAAATGCACACCCTTCAAAGCAGCAGAGCAGTGAATTGTAAAATAATGATCTGCTTGGAGACTTTAGCAATCAGCTGATTGGCTTTACAAGTAGCATTGCTAATATATTTTTTGTCAAACTTGGTTCTTTCCCTTCGTTAAGCTTCTGAGGGTCGGAGATTTCCATCTGGTGGAGCAGACCATATACAGAAAATATAGTTTGGAGTGAAACAGTTACAGTATTGTGTCTGTCCTTTGGCTTTAACAAGTCTGTTGGATAAATTTTAACTACTTTACACTTGATGTGGACTTTACTGACTGAAAAGCTAAAATGTCACAGATGGGGCGTCACAAAGAGGAGAAAAATTTTATCAAACCTTACAGATGTGTCCGAAAATATTTCACAAAAACATTGAATCTTCTTGTTTTAATGTTTTGCAGCTTTGCAAAACATTAAAAGTTTGTTTTTTTCTCTTGAGGCATAAATGGCAGAACGGGAACTTTTGCGTGGGCTTGAAAGAACGTTGGTGGCAGCATTGATTTCTAACACATCTCCAGTGCTTTTGTCCATAATAATCACACTTCCTAATGCAGCATTTCTAACATTTAAAACCAGATTCATCCATTTTCTTTCTAGATTTCAAACTCATGCTACCATCTTTCCATGCACAATTTTTCCAAAGACATTTTTTCTTTAACGAGACACAAATCCTATTAACATTCACAAACTCCACTTCCCTCTTTGACCTGACCCGGGTGCCAAACTCAGAGACCTTTGGGAGGAAAACTGGAGGTTGTAGATTGTGTTTGCTTGGCCTTTTGACACCTTTGGTCCTAATAATCATCTACAGTACATACATTGACCAATTAAAATTTGTTCCTGAAAATTAGGATTTGTAGTGTACAAAGTTACCTTTATCAGGCACATAAAAGAATTGTCCATTGGATATTTTATACATTTCTCCAAGTTTTTTTCATAATTGCTAGCATTGAACCAGTGTCTACGGAAGACTGTTTCTCTCACCACTACATGATGATTGGACTTGGTCTTTATTGAAAAAATTTTATTGAAAAATTAAAAATCCATCTGGCTTTGTTTAGCCAAATTCTAATCCACTAAAACACATCATTCCTTATCATTTAATTTTTTAATTTTTTTCCATCCTTCCAACATATGTTAAAACCTTTAGCTTCCGTCAGTGGTAACTTGTTTGCCACTGACATACTTTTTGTCATACTTTTTCCAGACCAACAGTGAAATTGATCCTTTTTGCACCTCCGAGAAGTTAATTCCATCACCAGCAGAGCATGAATATTTGAAACGTTTTGGCAAACAGCAGCTAACAACCCGGAGCAGGTTGTCCTCAGTGCTAACACAATTGGGTAAAATAGATAAAATTGCTGTGGATATTGAGAGGCAATTGTTTGAGAGGCTGCTGGGTTGTCTTTCAAATGGCTCAGTCCACAGATGCCTCAAAAGCCTGGTAATTTTATTAACATTCAAGACTTTAAGAAGAATTTTCTCTAATCTAAAGCATTATTACAAGGCTATGGTAATTGTGCTGAACAGTTCTTTCCACCTTGACTGGATTATGAGGATATTTACTAAGGTTAAACAAAACTAAAATAAAGTGAATAAAACACACAATGATTAGATCTTTA